TGTGTGAGTGTGTGTGTGAGTGTGAGTGTGTGTGTGTGTGTGTGAGAGTGTGTGTGTGTGTGTGTGTGTGTGTGAGTGACCCTGGACCACAAAACCAATAATAAAGGTCAATTTTTTAGAATTGAAAACATTTCTGAAAGCTGAATACCTGAATAAACGATCTTTCCATTGATGTATGGTTTGTTAGGATAGGACAATATTTGAAAATCTGGAATACAGGATAATAGGGAAGCGTTGGATTTGGATATGTCTTGTTGCCTTCATACCTCCATATCTACCTGAGAATACTGAGCCAGTATAATATCAAGTCAGTGTTGTTAACTGAAACTAAAACTATTAAAAAACATTTTCAGTAACTGAAAGCTTGAAATAAAATAAATGTTAGATGAAATTTTTTAACTTTAAGTTGAAGTTCTAGAATTACTAAGAATAACCTAAATAAAAATAAAAAAGCTACATATCACACAATGATAATTCAAAGGGCTTTATATATAAAAGGTTTTTAAAATAATTATAAAATAATCAAAATAGTAAGAAATAAAATTAACAATAAAAAGGTAAAAAAATTCAGAATAAAGATTCTCGTAAAAATGATTCAAGTATATTTTTAAGAAGCGTAATCTAGAAAGGTGATAAATTTGTCACAGATAATTGTTTTAAAATAATTATGAGTGAGTCTTACAAAGCATGTTTCCTTTTAATGGGAAATATAGATATATATGTTTTTGTTTTTTTCAGAAATCTGAAACCTAGTTTGAAGACCATCAGGATTTTTTTTTTTTTAGGATTGTGAAATTGATTTTATGACAATTAAACAAAGTTCTCCATCAGTTTCATTACTGAAAATATAATAATAACCATAGCAATAACTGATTAATATAATTAAACAGCAAAGTATTATTATTATTATTTTCTTCATTTTGGTAGTGTTTGCTATGGAAGCCCGTTTCCGCCACTGAATAAAAAAAAATAAAATAAAGGTTATTCCAACTTTTTATCTCACAATTCTGACTTTATTTCTCAGAATTGCAACTTTTTTTCTCGCAATTGCGAGTTTATTTCACGCAATTATGAAAGAAAAAAAGTCAGAATTGTGCGATAAAAAGTCGCAGTTACCTTTTTTAATTTTTTTATTCAGTGGCGGAAATGGGCTTCCGTAATTCATAGTGCTGATGCTGATTCAGTCTACTGAGAATCATTGAGAAGAAATTAATAATAACATTAAATGCAACATTAAAATGTCTGGATGCCTGAATTTGGAGTGAAATGTACTTAATTGTCATGAAAATAAAGTCAGAATAAATAAATAAATAGTTCTTAATTAAACAGGTTCATTTATCTTTATGGACAATATTTGAAAATCTGGAATCTGAGGGTGCAAAAAAATCTAAATATTAAGAAAATAATCTTTAAAGTTGTTCAAATGAAGTTCTTAGCAATGCATATTACTAGTTTTGATATATTTACGGTAAGAAATTTACAAAATATCTTCATGGCACATGATCTTTACTTAATATCCTAATGATTTTTGTCATAAAAGAGAAATGTATAATTGTGACCCATACAATGTATTTTTGGCTATTGCTACAAATATCCCCCAACACTGCTACACTGCTTTTGTGCTCCAGGCTCACACACACACATGTATATACTGTATATATATATATATATATATGTATATATATATATATATATATATACACACAGTATTTATTTATTTCTTTTTTGGAAATATATTTTCAGGAAATATGTAAAAAAAAAAAAAAAAAAGTCTGAATTGGGAGATGTTATCTCATAATTCACAAAACAAATTACATACAAGTCTGACTTAATTGTTTAGTTAAGTTCTCACAATTTTGAGTTTACATCTGGCAATTTAGACTTTTATTATTTATTTATTTATTTTTATTTAGACATTTCTATGCATTTCATAATACATGATACTGACAGATCCATTCGTCCATGAAATTAGGCTCCCTTAAAAGAGATATAAACTCTTTTAAAAGAGAGAAAAAAAGAGAAAAGAAATTGGAAGATGTAAAGTTGAAAAAGTGAAAAATAAAGTCAAAATTGTGAGATGAAAAAAGTTGCAATACCTTTTTGTTTGTTTGTTTGTTGGAAATTGTGTTCCATGGTTTTCGAAGAATACATCTTTAAACAATATTGCAGAGATGTTTTTCTTACTCTACTGAAATATTTTTCCTTGCCTAAAGTTAGATTTAATTTTATTTATGCTAAAATCAAAAGTGGAACATGTGGCCAAGTATGGATATGGCCAAGTATGGTTACCCATACTAGGAATTAGTGCTCTGCATTTTAACCCATCCTAAGTGCACACACACAGCTGTGAACGCACACACACACCGTGAACACACACCCGGAGCAGTGGGCAGCATTTATGCTGCGGCGCCCGGGGAGCAGTTGGGGGTTCGGTGCCTTGCTCAAGGGCACCTCAGTCGTGGTATTGAAGGTGGGAGAGAGCGCTGTACATTCACTCCCCTCACCTACAATCCCTGCCGGTACGAGACTTGAACCCGCAACCTTTGGGTTACGAGACCATTAGGCCACGGCTTCCCCATCAAGAACAACTATTTGTTAGTGGACTAAGAAAAATGTACTTCATTCAGAATAAATATTCAAACGTTTTAAAGTGTTAATTCAGTGAAACCAAGTCATAATTTCTGCCAAAATAACATTGTCTTATCTAATGCTTCTTAAATTTCTTTCCAGACGTTGGTTCTGTAGACAGATGCCTACATTTTCTTTACAAAACTAAAATGTTATTTCAGTTCACATGGACATCTAATGAAGCAGTAAAGATAAACAGTGTTTGGGGGAAATGTTGATTACGTACAATCCTTCCACTAATCATGACTGAAAAGGAAAACAGCTGGTTATTAGTGGCTGAAGTGTTGGTCTTGTTTTCATGTTGGTGGTGTCCAGTATCGGGCTGAATGGCAGTATCTCGGTCCACGCGCTGGAGGGACCCAAAACAGGCATCTTACCGACCCTCAGAAGTGCCAGATCACCCGAGACCTACACCGTGCTGGATGTGGACCAGAACGCTTACCTGTTTGTCGGCGGCATGCTGGGCTCAGTGAAGGTGAGAGAGATCACTGCACTGCATTTTCTTCATTAGTATTTGAATCTGGTTTTTCAGTAAAAACATATTTAAAGCCAGACACTACAGGCAAAAGCATAGTTTTGTTTTGTTCTCATGCACGGGTCAATTTTGAGAATTTGCACTATTTTGCTTGCATAACGCGACTTATTTCAGAGTAGTGGAAATATAACATCCAAAATGCACATTTAAGTGTGCACTTTATTTATTTGTCTGTAGAGTTCCGTTTCAATTCGTATCTTTAAAGGCGGTGAGTTTTTCTCCACGTCAGCAGCACTTTACAGTTTTATTCCTGTATTCTGAAAGGTTTTACAGAGCGGTTTATTCATATATCATTCACAGTGATTTTTAGAACATTTTATTCGTATGGTCAAAATATTTATTTAATGTTTTTCTCTCTACTTTCTGATTTATGGAGTGATAAAAGGAGAAATCAGAAATTTGAACCCGACTCACCCAGTGTTCAGAATCCAGATGATGTCTCATTTGCATATTTAAATATTGCATTTCAAAAATCTTGTAATACAAACCAATTGTCTTTATGTATTGTGATTAATCAGCAGAAGTATGGTACGATCCATTAGTTAACATATTTAGCGTATTCAGCTGTAGTGTCTAAACCAAGATAAGTATGCTTAAAGTCACCTTCATTTCAATAGCACTTCATACAATACAGACGGATTCGAAACAGCTTTACAGTAATAAGAAAAATAAAGTCACAGAATCAATGATGCAAACTTCAAAATGATAAATGCAAAATATTAGCTGTAATGCAGCTCTCACTCATTTTTTCACATCAGTGTTGATTCAGTTCAGTTCAATAACTGTGTGGAGTTCATCCAATGAAACGAGTTCAGTTCAGCTGATAACAACAGTGACATTATTCAGCTCGAGTCAGTTCAGTGTTCAAATCAGTTCAACAGTGTCAGTGTTGCAAAATTCATTAATCGTGAAGTCATTTGCTTATCTGATAGTGCCATGAATATTAAGCATCCTTTAGACCTCAACTTAGCAAACCAAAGGTGACAGTGGCAGGGAATTATTGTGCAGTATTTTAGAGTAGTAAGTCTGAACTTTTCTAATCATGTGAGAAACATACAGATTTTCCTTGTGTGTGTGTGTGTGTGTGAGTGTAGAAAGCAGATGCTGTGAAAACCACCACGTTCTCAGGCTGTATGGGAGAGACGTCTCTAGATGGAAAACCCATCGGCCTCTGGAACTACAGAGAGAGAGACGGGGATTGTGCTGGTTGTGTGGTCAGGTGAGCGCGCACACACACACACACACACACACACACAGCTGTGAGTTCAGTGTGAGAGTGTGAGGATCTCAGTGTAATGCAACAGTGTCAGTGTTGCAAAATTCATTAATCGTGAAGTCATTTGCTTATCTGATAGTGCCATGAATATTAAGCATCCTTTAGACCTCAACTTAGCAAACCAAAGGTGACAGTGGCAGGGAATTATTGTGCAGTATTTTAGAGTAGTAAGTCTGAACTTTTCTAATCATGTGAGAAACATACAGATTTTCCTTGTGTGTGTGTGTGTGTGTGAGTGTAGAAAGCAGATGCTGTGAAAACCACCACGTTCTCAGGCTGTATGGGAGAGACGTCTCTAGATGGAAAACCCATCGGCCTCTGGAACTACAGAGAGAGAGACGGGGATTGTGCTGGTTGTGTGGTCAGGTGAGCGCGCACACACACACACACAGCTGTGAGTTCAGTGTGAGAGTGTGAGGATCTCAGTGTAATGCTGTGTGTGTGTGTGTGTGTGTGTAGTCCTCAGCCGGCGGATACTGAAGGCACGGTTCAGTTTGACGGAGAGGGTTACGCCGCCGTCAGCCGACCCACCCGATGGAACCCAAACGTTTCCACGGTCATGTTCAAGTTCCGCACGTTCTCCACAGACGCGCTCATGATGTACTTCACCACCAAGGACATGGTAACAGCCCCCACACATCTACACCATATTTTACAGTATCTACATGCGTTCTGCTGGATATATCTGTGCTCTGTCTGTCTGTCTGAGCAGAAAGACTTCACGAGTGCAGAGCTGAGGGATGGGAGGGTGAAAGTGAGTTATGATCTGGGCTCCGGCACCGGCTCCATCATCAGTGACAAGCGCTATAATGACGGCAAATGGAAGTCGTTCACCATGTCCCGCATGAAGAAAGAAGGTACAGATATGAGAACGGAGCAGCTCACCTTCAGCAGTGTGCCGAGCCGATCTCGAGATGTGTCTAGAATGGGTCGGAAAAATGAACATGCGATACTTACCCACCCTCATGCTGTGTTCACGTTGGTCTTTTGCAGGCTTTTGTAACATGTGCAATGTATTTAAACTCTACTGAAGTCATATGGTGAGCGTGGCAAAATTAAACATATTATTTTATCGACTGAAGATCATCACCCGGTCACAGCTCTTACAGTAGACGCATGTATTCAGATGTGCCATGTGAGCTCAGTGATGCCAAATGCTGTTGATTCAGCATTTGTGACGAGGCAAATTTAATGTGTCAGCACAAATAAGTGTCATTTCACTACTATTTATGTACTATTGTAGAATTTATTAACATTTTAGCTTTTATTTTTATATTTTTTTCATGGTAGGATTAGTAATTTTGTTTTGTGCTTTTGTCATTTTTATTATTCATTTTTATTTCATTGTTAGTTTTAGTCATTTTATTACTTATTTTATTTCAGTTAGTTGCCAAATAATAAAAAAAGATATATATATATTTTATTTCGGCTTTATTTCAATTGTTAATGAAATATATTTGAATAGCTTTTGTTTTAGTTAGCAATAACACCTAATGTCAAAGGAGATGTATAATTATACAAATGTACATTCATAGTATGAAAGACATTGAAGTTTCCCGAACACCGTACAATCTGCTGAGCAGCCCAGACTACACAGGACTGATCAAAGGCTGCTCCATTGAGGTACAGTAAGACAACACCTGCCTGTCTTTGTCATCCTCTCTCTTGACTAAAGGCAACATTTGCTCCATTTAAATATTCCTCCACAAGCACTCTCTCTTTTAAAGGGACAAGTCAAGAGACAAGAGAGTGTTTAGTCCTGAAATCAGAAGAGAATTTGCATTTCTGAGTCGTCGGTTGCCTCTGAATTTTTTTATGGGCTTATGAGTTCAAAACTAAAACTGTGTTAATATTACTTAAAGGGATAGTTCACCCAAAATTAACAAATCTGTCATCGTTTACTCACCCTCATGTTGTTGTAACCTGTATGATTTTACTTTTTGCATGCAACACAAAATAAAATATTTTAAAATTATTTTCATTTATTTATTTTGTCCGTACAATGACAGTCAATGGGGTCCAATGTTGTTAGAACCCCGTTTTTTAGAATATGTTCCACAGAAGAAAGTCAGTCATAACAGGTTAATAAAATGAGGGTGAGATTAAAAGATGACCTGTAGTTTCCAGATTCAGAATTCACATTTAAGGTGTGTAATTTATGTTCTAAAACCAAACATGAAGATCTCATCAGGCCAAAAGACCTTAATTTACTCATACACCGTTAATAGAAAACACTATAGAAAGATCCCTTGTTGACCCCTGGTCTGCTCATATCATCTTTAATAAATGTTTTTATTCTTCTGACTTCTGAATCCTCATCTCCTTAACACAAATGCATATGTGTTCAGTAGTTTGTCTTGAACAGGAAGCTTTAACTCTGGTACTGTTGAGGTTTACAGTGCTGATAGGTTGAATTATGATTATCAATACAAAAGAGTGCCATACTATATCATGAGTTGTGCATTAGTAACTATTTCCTACAGTGAATCATCATTGATCGCTGTGTGTTAAATTCTGATATTTAGTATCATTTTACAAAAAAATGACATTTCTGCATTACACTAATTTTGTAACAATAACACATGGATATCTTGTTTCTCTTCCCAAATCCTCACCCTTTTAGTCCACTTTTAATCCCTATATTTGCAACCTTTATTGTGGTAAAGTTGAAAAATGCTGTAGATCAGCATTTGATCTACTTGTCGAAACAATAGAAATCATCAATGATCCTTTTTTATTTGTATTTTTATTTATTTTTAATTCAGTAAATGTCAGTCAAGGCAACAAGTCAGTTGTTGGTGAATTAGAAATGACTGGTCTTTGTCGCATAAAGAAATGTTTTATGTCATGAGTTTCAGTTTTCAGGTTTTAGGGTTTCAATTTCTCTCCTCACATTCAGCTTTAACACAGTTCGTGCTTGTGTTTGTATAGCACATTTTCCACATGCCAGTAATTCAGTAGTTTTTATTCTTGTTCTGCGTTAAATTTAAAGAATTTGTTGTGGAGTGAGAAGAACGTCTCGGTTACGTATGTAACCCTTGTTCCCTGAAGGAGGGAACGGAGACATTACGTCAGTAGTGACTGATAAGTTGAAAAATGCTGTAGATCAGCATTTGATCTACTTGTCGAAACAATAGAAATCATCAATGATCCTTTTTTATTTGTATTTTTATTTATTTTTAATTCAGTAAATGTCAGTCAAGGCAACAAGTCAGTTGTTGGTGAATTAGAAATGACTGGTCTTTGTCGCATAAAGAAATGTTTTATGTCATGAGTTTCAGTTTTCAGGTTTTAGGGTTTCAATTTCTCTCCTCACATTCAGCTTTAACACAGTTCGTGCTTGTGTTTGTATAGCACATTTTCCACATGCCAGTAATTCAGTAGTTTTTATTCTTGTTCTGCGTTAAATTTAAAGAATTTGTTGTGGAGTGAGAGGAACGTCTCGGTTACATATGTAACCCTTGTTCCCTGAAGGAGGGAACGGAGACATTACGTCAGTAGTGACTGATGAATTGGGATCCCAATTCGTCAGTCACTACTGACGTAACGTCGAACGTGACTGACTGAAAGGGAACTAAAATACGTTTATAGTGTTTAGAATGTTTGTAAATGTTTCGTTTTATTTACTGATAAATATGTGACTTATACTTTGACACAGCTGTTTTTTGTTAGTTTTTTTGTCTCAACTATGCAGTTTTGACCTGGTGCAACTTTTAGATGCAGTACAGAGAGCCATTTGAAAAGTAAAAAAAAAAGGCATGATACAAAGTTTCCAGGACAGTTGCCATAGTTGAAGAAACACCCATGACCAGTCTGATGCCATCAGCTGATGAGCCACAGTAGGATTTTTGTTGAAACTCCAAACTAAACGCTGGCTTTCTCTGTCTGTCAGAACCTGCACACCGTGAGCTTCTCCAGGCCCGGTTGGTAAAAAAAATATCAACTTTTGTTTGCTGAAGGGCAGAGGCAATTACAAACCTGCCCGTATAATAAATCTCTTTTATGGGCTATGAGACCCTTGTAGCCCTGTGGATTCATTATGATCTCGTACTGAAGGCCACGGCTCCCTGGACTTCCACCATTACCCATAATCACCTTCCTAAACACTCAGACAGGCAAAAAGAATAGCACTGAACCATCTCACACAGTCTCCTGTGTGTCTGTGCTTGCAATCGGCTGGAAGAAAGCTGGATTTCTCAAAACTACGCAATGCAGCTAACACTCAGACTCAGTCATACCTACAGAAATGTTGTGTTTGTGGGGTTTAAAAGACAATGTACATTCAGCAACATTTTTTTAATCAGATGAGAACAAAATCTGAATTGAGCTGAATAACGACACTATGCAACATGGACAGTTATCGAATTGAACTAAATCAACACTGAACTAAATTGATCTGAATAATGACACTATTGTGTTCTGTAGTTCTCCTTTACAGCTTAAATTGAATTTGTTTCATAATTGATGAATTTTACAACATTAACACTGTTATTTTGTGTATTCGAACTATAGACCTGTTTCAAAATGGCCTTTTCTCTCAAAACTGCTGGACAAAGCTATTCTCATTCAGCTGTTTTTTTTCATCTTCATTTTTAAAGGCTCTTAATTATGTCTTGTTAACTGTAGACACTGGGGATGCTGCAATTCTGGGGATAATAGCATTTGAGACTATAGACCATAAAATTCTTATTGCACAGCTTGAACGCTTGGTAGGGATTCGAGGTATTGTTTTAAATTGATGTAAGTCCTATTTAACTAATAAAAGTTTTACAGTAACCTTAGGTGAATTTGTATCATCTTCAACCCCTTTTACATGTGGGGTTCCACAAGGATCTATTTTGGGACCTATTATGTTTTCACTATATATATATACGGTGTATGTTTGAAAGACTTAAAAACATGGTTGGTTGTGAATTATTTGCATTTAAACAAATGTAGACTTTTGTGTTTGGAGCCTATAATGCACCAGGTCCCCTAATATGTATTTAGGCCCTTTGTCCATATATGGACAATCTATGGTAAAAAAAAGAAAACCTGAGGTGCACTTTTTGTTGACTTACTCAAATTTGACAAACAGATCAATTCTGTTGTCAGATCAAGCATTTATTTTTTAGTTAAGAAAACTGGCAAACGTCAACTTTTGAGATTTTGAGAGAGTGATGCATGTTTTATTCCTGAGAAAATTATTTTTTTCTACAGAAAGGGGTCCAGCAGAAAATGTTTGGGAACCACTTTCCTAAAGGAATTATTCGGAATGCAACTAGTAATTTCTCATCTATTCCACTTCATTGGCGAAGAAAGTTTTTGAAATAATCAGTACTTCAGGACAGAAATGCTGTTTACGAAGTCCACACACATTTCCACTCATTTCTTATGTTTTCTTTGAAGCCGTTTGTTTGTCCCTGCTGGTCTACTGCTGTGATTTTTGATAAACCCGCCTCTAAGTGGAATGTAAAAACAATACGTCTGGCTGCATGAAACTGTTCAAAGCCTCCCCCCAAATCCGGATTTGATTTATAAAGAATTTTCCTCCGTTGTTTACTGATAAATAAGAGTACTGGGACTATGGGACTGCTGTGTACAGGACTGTTGTGAAGTTAAAATGCCAATCTGTGTAAAAGGGTTTATCAGCGTTAAACACATTTCAGTAATCTCATGACTGAATGAGAGTGTGAGGTGTGTGTGAGCACCTCTCCGGTCTGTCTGCGCGAGCGGCGCGGGATGTGGACAGGCGTCAGGCCTTGCGTCAGCTGCGTCATAGAGGTCAGTCCTCCTCTGCCGAACAGGATGATGCCGTTTTCACTCTTTGTGCTGAAGGAGAGAGAGATCTCTGAGCCTACGTCAAACGACACAGGTTTCAGCTCCATGTACCCGGGCCTGGAGAAGCTCACGGTGTGCAGGTTCTGACAGACAGAGAAAGCCAGCGTTTAGTTTGGAGTTTCAACAAAAATCCTACTGTGGCTCGTCAGCTGATGGCATCAGACTGGTCATGGGTGTTTCTTCAACTATTGTAACTGTCCTGGAAACGTTCGACGTTACGTCAGTAGTGACTGACGAATTGGGATCCCAATTCGTCAGTCACTACTGACGTAACGTCGAACGTTTCCAGGACAGTTACAATAGTTGAAGAAACACCCATGACCAGTCTGATGCCATCAGCTGACGAGCCACAGTAGGATTTATGTTGAAACTCCAAACTAAACGCTGGCTGTTTCTCATGCAAACTGTGCTTTGTTTTGAACTAAACTGCCAGTGTGAAATCTGCTTTAGTTAATGGTCAAACAAACAGATCTGGTTGAGCGAGTGCTGCTGTGTCGATGTTTTGAAAGCGTCACAGTGTTTCACTTGTCTGGGTCTTTACTGTCTGACTGTCTGTGATCTCACTGTCTCTTTTACGTTTGCTTAGCAATCATCGCCATAGTGAACATCGACACTAATGAGGACGAGCAGTTGCGGATGGCGTCTCCAGGTGGAGCGACAGGCCTCAACCTGAGGGAGGATGAGAGGATGTATTTTGGCGGTGTACCCAAGACTGGAAACTACAGGTGTGCAAATGTGTATTCAAAGATAGGCTTATTAGATGAATTCCTCCTGTATTTAATCTCACGTCTGACTCTGTTATTGTCTTCTCGCATCATTGACAAACTATTTTTCTGTTTAACACTGTAAAGCTGCTTTGACACGACCAGTATTGTATAAAGCGCTATATAAATAAAGGTGACTTGACTTGACGTCTGCTTTTCCTCAGGTCAGAGGTGGTTTTGAAGAGGTTCTCTGGCTGTATGAAAGACATTGAAGTTTCCCGAACACCGTACAATCTGCTGAGCAGCCCAGACTACACAGGACTGATCAAAGGCTGCTCCATTGAGGTACAGTAAGACAACACCTGCCTGTCTTTGTCATCCTCTCTCTTGACTAAAGGCAACATTTGCTCCATTTAAATATTCCTCCACAAGCACTCTCTCTTTTAAAGGGACAAGTCAAGAGACAAGAGAGTGTTTAGTCCTGAAATCAGAAGAGAATTTGCATTTCTGAGTCGTCGGTTCCCTCTGAATTTTTCTCTGGGTTTTTATGGGCTTATGAGTTAAAAACAAAAACGGTGTTAATATTACTTAAAGGGATAGTTCACCCCAAATTAACAAATCTGTCATCGTTTACTCACCCTCATGTCGTTGTAACCTGTATGATTTTACTTTTTGTGTTCTACACAAAAGAAAATATTTTTAAATTATTTTTATTTATTTATTTTGTCCGTACAATGACAGTCAATGGGGTTAGAACCCCGTTTTTTAGAATATTTAAGGTGTGTAATTTATGTTCTAAAACCAAACATGAAGATCTCATCAGGCCAAAAGACCTTAATTTACTCATACACCGTTAATAGAAAACACTATAGAAACATCCCTTGTTGACCCCTGGTCTGCTCATATCATCTTTAATAAATGTTTTTATTCTTCTGACTTCTGAATCCTCATCTCCTTAACACAAATGCATATGTGTTCAGTAGTTTGTCTTGAACAGGAAGCTTTAACTCTGGTACTGTTGAGGTTTACAGTGCTGATAGGTTGAATTATGATTATCAATACAAAAGAGTGCCATACTATATCATGAGTTGTGCATTAGTAACTATTTCCTACAGTGAATCATCATTGATCGCTGTGTGTTAAATTCTGATATTTAGTATCATTTTACAAAAAAATGACATTTCTGCATTACACTAATTTTGTAACAATAACACATGGATATCTTGTTTCTCTTCCCAAATCCTCACCCTTTTAGTCCACTTTTAATCCCTATATTTGCAACCTTTATTGTGGTAAAGTTGAAAAATGCTGTAGATCAGCATTTGATCTACTTGTCGAAACAATAGAAATCATCAATGATCCTTTTTTATTTGTATTTTTATTTATTTTTAATTCAGTAAATGTCAGTCAAGGCAACAAGTCAGTTGTTGGTGAATTAGAAATGACTGGTCTTTGTCGCATAAAGAAATGTTTTATGTCATGAGTTTCAGTTTTCAGGTTTTAGGGTTTCAATTTCTCTCCTCACATTCAGCTTTAACACAGTTCGTGCTTGTGTTTGTATAGCACATTTTCCACATGCCAGTAATTCAGTAGTTTTTATTCTTGTTCTGCGTTAAATTTAAAGAATTTGTTGTGGAGTGAGAAGAACGTCTCGGTTACGTATGTAACCCTTGTTCCCTGAAGGAGGGAACGGAGACATTACGTCAGTAGTGACTGATGAATTGGGATCCCAATTCGTCAGTCACTACTGACGTAACGTCGAACGTGACTGACTGAAAGGGAACTAAAATACGTTTATAGTGTTTAGAATGTTTGTAAATGTTTCGTTTTATTTACTGATAAATATGTGACTTATACTTTGACACAGCTGTTTTTTGTTAGTTTTTTTGTCTCAACTATGCAGTTTTGACCTGGTGCAACTTTTAGATGCAGTACAGAGAGCCATTTGAAAAGTAAAAAAAAAAGGCATGATACAAAGTTTCCAGGACAGTTGCCATAGTTGAAGAAACACCCATGACCAGTCTGATGCCATCAGCTGATGAGCCACAGTAGGATTTTTGTTGAAACTCCAAACTAAACGCTGGCTTTCTCTGTCTGTCAGAACCTGCACACCGTGAGCTTCTCCAGGCCCGGGTACATGGAGCTGAAACCTGTGTCGTTTGACGTAGGCTCAGAGATCTCTCTCTCCTTCAGCACAAAGAGTGAAAACGGCATCATCCTGTTCGGCAGAGGAGGACTGACCTCTATGACGCAGCTGACGCAAGGCCTGACGCCTGTCCACATCCCGCGCCGCTCGCGCAGACAGACCGGAGAGGTGCTCACGTGCACCTCACACTCTTATTCAGTCATGAGATTATGAAATATGTTTAATGCTGATAAACCCCTTTTACATAGATTGACATTCCAACTGCACAGCAGTCCTGTACACAACAGTCCTATAGTCCCAGTAGTCTTCTTTTTTTTTATCAGTAAACAATGGAGGAAAATTCTTTATGAATCAAATCCGGATTTTGTGGGGAGGCTTTGAACAGTTTCGTGCAGTGATAAACCCCTTTTACATAGATTGACATTCCAACTGCACAGCAGTCCTGTACACAACAGTCCTATAGTCCCAGTAGTCTTCTTTTTTTTTTTATCAGTAAACAATGGAGGAAAATTCTTTATGAATCAAATCCGGATTTTGTGGGGAGGCTTTGAACATGTTTCGTGCAGCCGGACTTGAACTACAGAACACAATAGTGTCATTATTCAGATCAATTTAGTTCAGTGTTGATTTAGTTCAATTCGATAACTGTCCATGTTGCATAGTGTCATTATTCAGCTCAATTCAGATTTTGTTCTCATCTGATTAAAAAAATGTTGCTGAATGTACATTGTCTTTTAAACCCCACAAACACAACGTTTCTGTAGGTATGACTGAGTCTGAGTGTTAGCTGCATTGCGTAGTTTTGAGAAATCCAGCTTTCTTCCAGCCGATTGCAAGCACAGACACACAGGAGACTGTGTGAGATGGTTCAGTGCTATTCTTTTTGCCTGTCTGAGTGTTTAGGAAGGTGATTATGGGTAATGGTGGAAGTCCAGGGAGCCGTGGCCTTCAGTACGAGATCATAATGAATCCACAGGGTTACAGGGGTCTCATAGCCCATAAAAGAGATTTATTATACGGTTTCGTGCAGCCGGACTTACTGTTTTTACATTCCACTTAGAGGCAGGCTTATCAAAAATCACAGCAGTAGACCAGCAGGGACAAACAAACGGCTTCAAAGAAAACATAAGAAATGAGTGGAAATGTGTGTGGACTTCGTAAACAGCATTTCTGTCCTGAAGTACTGATTATTTCAAAAACTTTCTTCGCCAATGAAGTGGAATAGATGAGAAATTACTAGTTGCATTCCGAATAATTCCTTTAGGAAAGTGGTTCCCAAACATTTTCTGCTGGACCCCTTTCTGTAGAAAAAAATAATTTTCTCAGGAATAAAACATGCATCACTCTCTCAAAATCTCAAAAGTTGACGTTTGCCAGTTTTCTTAACTAAAAAATAAATGCTTGATCTGACAACAGAATTGATCTGTTTGTCAAATTTGAGTAAGTCAACAAAAAGTGCACCTCAGGTTTTCTTTTTTTTACCATAGATTGTCCATATATGGACAAAGGGCCTAAATACATATTAGGGGACCTGGTGCATTATAGGCTCCAAACACAAAAGTCTACATTTGTTTAAATGCAAATAATTCACAACCAACCATGTTTTTAAGTCTTTCAAACATACACCGTATATATATATAGTGAAAACATAATAGGTCCCAAAATAGATCCTTGTGGAACCCCACATGTAAAAGGGGTTGAAGATGATACAAATTCACCTAAGGTTACTGTAAAACTTTTATTAGTTAAATAGGACTTACATCAATTTAAAACAATACCTCGAATCCCTACCAAGCGTTCAAGCTGTGCAATAAGAATTTTATGGTCTATAGTCTCAAATGCTATTATCCCCAGAATTGCAGCATCCCCAGTGTCTACAGTTAACAAGACATAATTAAGAGCCTTTAAAAATGAAGATGAAAAAAAACAGCTGAATGAGAATAGCTTTGTCCAGCAGTTTTGAGAGAAAAGGCCATTTTGAAACAGGTCTATAGTTCGAATACACAAAATAACAGTGTTAATGTTGTAAAATTCATCAATTATGAAACAAATTCAATTTAAGCTGTAAAGGAGAACTACAGAACACAATAGTGTCATTATTCAGATCAATTTAGTTCAGTGTTGATTTAGTTCAATTCGATAACTGTCCATGTTGCATAGTGTCATTATTCAGCTCAATTCAGATTTTGTTCTCATCTGATTAAAAAAATGTTGCTGAATGTACATTGTCTTTTAAACCCCACAAACACAACGTTTCTGTAGGTATGACTGAGTCTGAGTGTTAGCTGCATTGCGTAGTTTTGAGAAATCCAGCTTTCTTCCAGCCGATTGCAAGCACAGACACACAGGAGACTGTGTGAGATGGTTCAGTGCTATTCTTTTTGCCTGTCTGAGTGTTTAGGAAGGTGATTATGGGTAATGGTGGAAGTCCAGGGAGCCGTGGCCTTCAGTACGAAATCATAATGAATCCACAGGGCTACAAGGGTCTCATAGCCCATAAAAGAGATTTATTATCCAGGCAGGTTTCTAATTGCCTCTGCCCTTCAGCAAACAAAAGTTGATCTTTTTTTGTTACCAGGTGGACTAAAGGCTAGGGGCACGGTGATCATTTTAATTAAAATATGACTTTCTACATCTTTGTCAGTAACGTCTTCATCATCCTTCTCTCTCGCCAGCTCAGGGGCAGCACATCAATTATGCTGCGTATTCGTAGTAAGCAGTCGCCTCTCTCACCTCCCCATGATACTCCGTTTGTAAAAATAGATTTACAAGCTGCATTTTTGATGGATCACGTCCAATTTGCAATAACCCTCCTGGGAGAGGGTGGCGGACCGCCACCTTTTGAAAATCATTATTGCTCGTAAATTAAGTGGGTGTCATTTTGCGGGAGTGCGGCTTCGGAGAGGCCAAGGGTTTTCTCCGCCGCTCCTCATTCATTCCTCCAATTTACGGCGTGTCCAGGGTCACCTGCGTTGCGTGTGTGTCGCCGTCGGCTTGGAGAGGATCCTGCCCTTGCATCGCTTTCCTCAATTACAGTACAGCGTGGAGAGCATGAGTGTGTGCTCTCAGAGCCGTCTGTCTGATTACCGGCCCTCAGCTCAGCTCACTCCCCCCAAATATATTACTGTGAGCCATTCTGAACCTCAGTACGTCTCAGTGTAACATTCTTATCAAAAATACTTAGCTTTTTATCTTTAGACTAAATTTTCATATATTATAAAGAAACTTTAAATGTTTTATCTTAGCTTGCAAAGCTCACCATTAAAATGCTTGGGTGTTCTTTTGAGTGGTTTAGGGTTTTACGCAGTTGCTAATCTTTTTGCCATGGCATTGTCATGTGGTTGCTAGGGTGTTGTGTGTGTTTTTAGCACAGTCAGTTAACAAAGAAGTTGTTAGGGCGTTGTAAGGTTGTTGGTTATGTGTTCTAGCTGGTTTCTATGTAGTTGCTGGGGTATTCTGAGTGATTTAGCATGTTACATAGTTGCTACTCTGTTGCCAGGGCATTGTCATGTGGTTGTTAGGGTGTTGTGTTTTTGGCAATGTAGGTTAACAAAGAAGTTGTTAGGGCGTTGCTAGGTGGTTCTTTACGTGTTCTGGCTGGTTGCTAAAGCATTTCTAGGTGGTTGCTGGGGTATTCTGAGTGGTTTCTAGAGCATTACTATGCAGTTGCTAAGGTGTTCTGAGTGTTTGCTAAAATGTTGCTATACGGTTACTAAAGTTATCTTAGTGATGTTTCACATTGCTAGGGTGTTCTGGGTGGTGGATCAGGTGTTCTTAGTGGTTTCAGTACATTGCTATGTAGTTGCTTGAGTGTTGTGAGTGGTTGCTAGGGTGTTGCTAAGGTGTTCTGAGTGTTTGCTAAAATGTTGCTATACGGTTACTAAAGTTATCTTAGTGATGTTTCACATTGCTAGGGTGTTCTGGGTGGTGGATCAGGTGTTCTTAGTGGTTTCAGTACATTGCTATGTAGTTGCTTGAGTGTTGTGAGTGGTTGCTAGGGTGTTGCTAAGGTGTTCTGAGTGTTTTGAGCATAGTTGGTTAACCAAATAGTTGTTAGGTGGTTGTTTACGTATTCTAGTTGGTTTCTAAGGCTTTTCTAGGTTGTAGCTGGAGTATTCTAAGTAGTTTAGAGTGTTACACAGTTGCTACTCTGTTGCCAGGGCATCGTTATGTTGCCAGTGTTGCTATGTGGTTGCTATAGTATTCTGAGTGTTTTTTTATCATGGTGGTTTGTATTGAGTGGTTTGTTTTAGAAAGGTGTTCTGAGTGTTTTGAGCATAGTTGGTTAACCAAATAGTTGTTAGGTGGTTGTTTACGTATTCTAGTTGGTTTCTAAGGCTTTTCTAGGTTTTTAGCTGGAGTATTCTAAGTAGTTTAGAGTGTTACACACTTGCTACTCTGTTGCCAGGGCATCGTTATGTTGCCAGTGTTGCTATGTGGTTGCTATAGTATTTTGAGTGTTTTTTTATCATGGTGGTTTGTATTGAGTGGTTTGTTTTAGGGCGTTGCTAGGTGGTTGCTTTACAATTGCATTAGTGTTTTAAGTGTTACTTATCATGTTGGTATGTAGTGAGTGGTTTGCTCTAGGCAGTGGCGGCTCGTGGATATTAAAATAGAGGAGGCACACTAAATTGTAGTCCCCTCCCTGAGGCGTAAACTGCTTAATAAAAGCCTGCTTTTGGCTATGTTTATGTAGGAAAACGACATTGTACGTATACAGCAAAACAATATATTTAAAATTGTACTTTCCTATTACTTGCAGAAAAAATCCATCCTCCTGTCCTTCTTAGCAGCAAATGTGTCTATGACTCTGTCGTAGAATACACCTGTCATCTTTAATTCGTCAATTAAGGCTGACTCCAGAGAAATTGTTGCCAAGTGTGACAGTCTTTCTTGTCCACAGTTACTGCGAAGATATGTTTTCACCCTCTTCAGGCCAGAGAAAGACCATTCAGCAGACACAGTTGTTACAGGAATTGTTAGCATCAACTTAAGCAGTCTGAACAGTTCTGGCAGGGTGCTATGCAAATCGTCCTGTATGATCATCTGAAGCAAGTCGCTCAATGCTTTATGGAAACGCTTCTCTTCATAGACCACAAGCAGTTAATTTTTCAACCTCCAACTGTCAAAGAAGGTGTACACTTTTTAAAAAGAGGCGCCAGTTCTGCATCAGGAAACCCCTTTGGTTTAGCAAACTCCGCAAATGCTGAGAAGTTCTGAAGTCGAAATAAATTCAGACTTTTCATATCACTAAATCTCTCTGTCATCTGACATATAACGGCATCCATAATTTCATAGAACAGAGATCGATAAGAGTCAGTGACGCTTGGATCTTCACCCTGCTCGCAGCAGTGAGATCCTTCCTCATAGTCTCGCCAGCCGCGGCGGCACCGCTTCCTTCGACCATCCTCGTGCCCAACAGCACGGACAGTGTTGTCATACACTTCTTGGAATGTTTTGTCAGTACGAAGTGCTTTCGGTGATTTAAGGGTCGAATCTATGTAGTCAAACGACTGTCTCAAATCAAGCGATCTAGCTTTGAGAACCTGGAACAAAACATCGGTATGTCCAAAAATCATCAAGCAGAAACATGAACTTGAAATCCTGCAATTTCTGTTTGAGTGCCATGGCCTGAGCGATCCCAGCCTGGTTCCGTCATGATTCGGTCAAAGACAATGTTCAGACTCTGGCGGGCTTCACATACTGCATTCACGGCGCGGCTTTTAAAGTTCCACCGAGTAGCCGAGCCTCCGGGAATTCAAACTGAATTGTCAGCCTCAGTCAGTAAAGCGGTCCTTTTGGGTGATCGAGAGAAAAAAATTGTGGAAACCGTCCAAAAAACATATTTGCATCTTGAATATTCTTCGTCCCCTGCGCCAACACTAAATGTAACCTATGGCCGTAACAGTGCACAAAAACTGCATGTGGGCACTGTTCTTTCTCACGGGCCCTCACACCCCCTCGCTGCCCACTCATACTACTTGCGCCATCGTATGTTTGACAAATTAACTTGGCCTCTGGGTTGTACTTCTGAATTACTTTCATTAACGCTTCAGAAAGTGATTCGGTGTCTCTGTCGGCGCTAACGTCGTGGAAACCCAGAAATCTCTCGTAAATAGCGCCACTGACATTCACATAATGGAGAATGACAGCTGGCATTTACATGAGACATCGGTAGTGTCATCTGCTTGTCTGGCAAAGAAATCAGTTGACTGAATTTCTTAATCTATTTCATTATTTACAACAGTGGCTATACTGTCAATTATGTCATTTTGAATTGATTTTGAAGTACCTTTGAAAACGGTGGATGTTTTCAGATGCTCTGCAAGTGCTGGGTCAAACTCTGAAAAGGTTTCTAGAAGTTGTACAAAATTCCCTTTGTTTTTACTTGTAGCAGATTCATCGTGACCACGAAATGCGTGTTCTTGTTGGCCCAAATTTAGAACCGCAATGATCAGTTTGCGCAAAAGATCACGTTTTTTCGCCACCTGCTCGTTATGCCGCAGTACCCCAATGGCAGCGGCCTGGCCGAGTGCCTCATCGATTCTTACCCGCCCGAGCAACTTCAGCTTAAGAGCAGAAGATATGTGGCTCCTCATCGATTCTTACCTGCCCGAACAACTTCATCTTAAGAGCGGAAGATATGTGGTTTCGAGACTTTGCATGTCTTTCCATAGCTCTTGCTAAATTCTTCATATTGTTGAAACAAGTCGTAATCCATGGATTGAATCCTCCAGTTGATTCGTCAAATAGAAGACAAAGCCAGCAGAAGCGTTTGTTCAAGTTCACTGAGCCTGTTAGCCGCTCGGTTTTGCTAAATAATTCGTTTCTAAAACTGCATAATTCCATTCGGCTGCATAATGAAGATTGTTTTATGTCCAGATTAGGCA